ACTTCTACGCGTGCCGATCTCGCAGTGCGGGTGGCTTGAAAACGAGTTGAAATCAAAGGACCCTAATTAACCCTGTCCAACTGTACGATTCTCAGTATCCCTGCAACTGTACTGGCCTGATGACGAATTACTGAAGACATACGTGTTTGTCGAATAAAATTTCCAGGTTGGCCATGGGAGAATTTGAAGAACTTAGGCAATCTCAAGGTACTTCAATCACGTCAGCAGAATGGCTGCTTTTGAGGGCGCTTCTTTCTGACCACTTCCAGAAAAAAATATGCAGTATAAAAATGGCTATATGCATGAAGTATGCATAGTCTTCAGTGGTCTCCAATGCCATTATAAATCCCCATATGCCCACCAGCAGCCAACCTCCGGGAGACCAAATGGGGTCGGCAACGAACGAGCAGTTCAAAGTTCAAACGTCCGACACCGATCTAATTTGAGACAGACGGCAAGGCTGGCTAACCCAAGACCACCAGACGTAGCTATCACAAAACTCTGACGATGGAAGCGAGAAGGTTTTCGAAATGTCAGTTCAAATATAATTTGGTCCATGAATCCGCCCCCTCTTCTCCTTCCTTACCTTTGGGAGATGATGAACGTGAAAATTCCCATATATATTTTATCGAAATAAGGCATAGAAATATCCTTTCTTGTAATCTTTCGGTAGCGAATTATGCCTTCTTCAGAGTTTATCCTTAAAGAACGTGTATGATCTGTTTCTATAAAAAAAATTATAAAGTACCGATTAATTTTGAACCCAACCGGCTGATACACTTGCATTCTGGGTCTTCAAACTACATGCTGTATTGATTCTGTCTAACGAAGCGACCAGATTTCTCTCAATGTATATGGCTCACACTACTAAATGGATGGTTGAGCTGTATTATGAATGAATATTTTACGGTCTTAAAATATCTCATAATAACAAACTTTTTTAAAGAAGGCGTGATCCGCTATCAAAGGAGTACAAGAAATAATATTTTTGCGCATGTATTCGAGAAAATACATTCAAAACTACAATCTACGATTACATCGAATATCAATGAGAACCATGCATACCACATAAGGAACCATTTTCGCGGGGTGTGAGCTCTGCGGACGGTCAGTGAGAAGTGCTTTCAAAAACCGACATCCCGGTGTGACTAATATATAGGGATTAGACCGCACGGTAGCAATCTATTATAGGTAACACCACGCCCATACCGCTCAAAGATGGTGGCCATTTGGAGGTTTAAGTTTAACATTTCCTGATTCCTATTGGCTGTATTTCCTACTGGCTACCGACCTGCTCTGATTTACTTGTAGGAGGTTTATTCAGTTACCCCTGATTTGACGCAAGTTGTTTTTCCAATGGTCATGCTTTTTTCGTCGCTATTTACAGGGTGTCCCAAAAAATGTATGCGCACTTTAAATAACTGTAAACTTGGTGTTTATTATACTTTCATCATTTCAAAAATGTAAAAATATTTGCAAGTATCATTGTATTGTTTTTTCAGTGCATGTTCTCGAACTGACGTCCATTTTGATCCAGATATTGTTCTAAATACAACTTGCCATGCTGTACATTTCGGTCTAGCTCATCGTCGTTAAGAGGATGGACTAACCTTGGGATATAACTTTTCCAATGGCAACGTTGCATAATGCGAGAACATGCAGTGAAAAAAAAACAATAAAAAGATACCTGTAAATAAGTTTCCATTTTCGAAATGATAATAATATAACAAACGTCAAGTTTACAAGTATTTAAAATGTGTATACATTTTTGGGACACCTTGTATATTAGCTTTTTGTAATAATTTTATTTACTATTTTCGGTTTTGCTTGCCAAAGTTGTTCTAAGTTTCTCGCCTGTTCACCCGGAATGCCCCACCCGTAAAACCCTTATTATCACCGGTCCCCTACTACAGGTTTTTAGAGTTTTAGGCTTCCGTGCTGGTACCGGGAATGAAAAACAAAAACAGATGGAACGAGAAAGCCAGCAACCCCCTTACCTTGAATACTAAATCCATAACCCACCAGGTCGTCTCGTGCGAGGTGCACGGTGTAGGTCGGCGTCCAGCGCCGCTTCGCGT